TTATTTGCAAATTCAATATACATTATAACCAAGTTCAATCACGTTTAATAATATTTTGCGATATTTTCTCCAGCGCATTCGATCGTTGATTTAACGCAGCGCATTTGATCGTTGATTTATATTTCAACCTTTACTCGACGCCTTTGAGTCACCTTAAATCGACGTTTTACTACCAACGTTACAAATCCTTGCAAAATCGACTGCTTTAACAACGTTAAAGTAACGCTCTCCAAGTAACGTTTTTTCAACGTTAAGTTGCGGCGCCTATGCAACGCTTTTTAAGTAACGCTTTTTCAACGTTTAGTTGAGACATTTTCGTAACGTCTTTTAGTAACGTTTTTTCAACGTTACGCTACAACGATTAATCAACGTCTCTTTAACAACGTGACATATCTTTGCAAAATCGATTACTTTGTCAACGTTTCCGCAACACCTTTTGCGACCTGTTTTCAACGTTGATTCAACGCTGACAAGTTTGCTGTGTATGTATAAGAGAGGCATATTGAATGTATAATAAATACATATATATTTTTTAAATTACAAAATATTGTCATGTCTAGTAATTTTTATTGAAAAATATATAAGTTGGTATAATGGTTCGGAAATTTTATGGTATATAATAATGTAATTTTTCAAAATGCATTTTTTTTTTTTGCTTTTGTCCACGACCTGGCCCACTGTGCAGTGGATTAACTTTTTCTTTGAAATTCTATATAAACTTGTGAATTAAGCGACATTTTGAACTAACCAACGGTTATGCTTTATGTTCAATAAAACACAAATTTAATAAAACACAAATCAAGCAGGGTGTATGTTGAAAAAGCAGTCCGAACTTAATTTTTTATATTTGAAATTTTTTCTTTCCTTTTTTATAACTCAAAATACAAGTCGTTAAAAAGATAAGCAGTCTAGTGTAGTAAAACTAGGGGATGTCTATTGATATATTTTGATGTAAACTTGTTGTTTCTAACTAATTTTGCCTGCTGATGATAATTAAACAATAAAACTTAATAAAAATTTAGTTATTGCTTTAGCTTAGTTTTAATTGTTATAATATATAATAATAGTTATATAGTAAAAACTTTTTTTTTCAAAAATATATTCTAGTTGAAAAACTTTTATTTGATTTTTTTGGGTACGTCCAACAACGTAGCAGACATCCCCTACCATGCCCCAGTTGCCAGTACATTGTATGCACCAGTTGCCAAAACACAACTCAATCCATGATATTATCCAAAATCTCAAAACATAATATAAACCAAATCAAAGTCAGCAAGATTTTTTTTGGGCACTTTATCTTTTGGTAACATTATCGTTTTTTTTTTTAGTTATATCAGGGGCGCCACCAGCATTTTTTGGTCTTTGAGATAACTAACTTCCAGACATAAAACAACTTCCAGACATGGAGCAAACTCCAAATATTCATATGTTTATACGTAAATTTTAAACCTCCATAAATATTCGGAACATATATCCGTAAATCTCGCAAATATTTCTTTTGGGAGTATAACTAGTTCTAATATATTTTTAAAAATCATTTAATTTTAATTTAACTGAAACGTTCTTAGAAATAAATGTTAAGTAAAATTCCGTTACACACAATATCTTAGGTAAAATCCTTATTTTAATATGTTTTAGCTATATCTACTTGCCACAACTTGTCAATCATTGATGCTAAGATTTCAGGAGATCCAATTGATATGTATATATTTAACTTTACGAAATGTAAACTACATGATTCAGGTTTAAAAGAGTTGATTAAATACGGAGATTTATCTTTAAATTTTAAACCGTACATTTAAGCTATAGTTGTGTTTCCAGATAACAACAAGTCTTTATATATTTTAAAACACTTTACTTTAGAGGCTGTTTTGCAAAGGATGACTGCCGTAACCATTAATAGCAACGATGAAGTTATTGTTTATACAAAAGGATCACCAGAAAAAATTCTTTCTATGTGTATTGGCAGTAGTGTTCCCAGCGGTATTAGAGAAGAAATTGCAAAGTACACACGCGTAGGTAACCGTGTCTTAACAGTAGCACACAAAACTATTTCTGAAATAGATGAATGGAGTTCGTTAAACATAATACCGAGGTGTGAGATTGAATCAAACCTTTTGTTGTGTGGTATTATTGTTTTTAAAAGTGTAGTTAAACAAGGCAAAAATGATGCAATTAAAATTTTTTCGCAAGCAAATATAAAAACAGGTATGGTAACTGGTGATGATTTACTGACAGCGTCATTTGTTGCAAGAGAAATTAACATGATAACTTTTGGAACATTTAAGTACATGATTCTTTACAGCATGATAATGTTCTTTAGAATTATTGTTCTTTACATCGTTCAATCAAAATTTTCGAACAATCATTTTATTTACTTTGATTTAGGTTTAAGTTTTCCTCTTGTTTTTGCAATGACTTTATCCAATGCTAATAGAAAACTAGCTTTGAAAAGACCACTAGGTAGGCTTTTTCATCCAATATATATAGGTGGAATGGTTTTACACGTTTTTCTTGTAATTGGCATTCAGTTAATTACCTACTTTTGTATAACAAAAATGACTTGGTATTTCCCATCTCCCACCATAAACTCTATTCAGTTTAAATCAATGGAAAACAACTGTTGTTATTGTTTCATTTTATATGACAATATGGTTATCCTTAACATGTTTAAAAGGACGGCCATATTTATCTCCTATTTACCAAAACTACGCTTATGGAATTATTTGCTCAACATTTATAGCTTTAACACTTTATATTACAATTTATCCTGAACGAAGTCTCTTAAGTATATTGAATTTTAATGAGCCGCCAGACGATGAATATTCAGTATTTTTAATTGGAGTTGCTTTGTGTCATTTGGTTTCAGCACTTGTACTGGAGCAATTGTTAGATACTAAATACGTTAAGATATTTGCTAATTGGGTTAGAAACAAAAAGCTCGAAGAAATATATACAAGCATATTTTAAAAAAGTTTGACCAAGACTGGCCCCCACAAGAACAAATTCAATTATAATATTTTATTTTTTTAAATTTCAATTTTTATTTTATGATCAAATATTGTTATAGTTACTGTTATCTACAAGGTTTAAAAGATTATAGACAAAGTGTGATACAGATTATTTCATTAGCATGTTTAAGAGAATAAAAACAATTTTAATGTAAAAGCATATTTAATGTAAAAATCAAAAAACCAACAAAATTATTTTTGATGCAATGAAATATTTTGAAAAAACTTAAATATTGTTGATCAAATAAGTTTGATCAAATTAAAAACATTGGAATAAATGCATCAAGGATCTAGTTAGCTGTTGTAAGTTTAATTTGGCAAGATTTAATGAAGATTACTGAAAAAGATCATAATTTTTAGCTCATTATTTGCCAGTGGTGATTTTGAATACACTGTATAGCTTAAAAAAATAACAGTGAACGCTAGCATAAGTGCAAATACGTTCCGCTTCCGTTCAAATATCAACATACTGTTAAGGAGGCTCAATGGTTAAAAAAAACTAAAAAATCAATGGTTAAAAAAAACTAAAAAAAATTTTTATCTGATTTGAAATTTATTCTAGATTCAGAAAATATATATCTTTATTCACATTCAAACTCAATATTATGAGTAATATTCATTTTTTTAAGGCGCAATCTTTTTAGCTTCAATAGCAACGCCCCTAGCAACAGTGATTTCCAGCCTTTTTAGTCGAGTTTTAGTTGGTATAGATTATGCGGTGAAAATGAATCTTACTAAATGTCTCCTATAAAAAAATCATCAGCTATTCATAATGCAATAAAACTGATTTTTATTAATTCATGCTCTGAAAATTTGTTAAAACCATGTCTTCATGGTACCACCCAAAGTTCAAACGAAGCATTTAATCAAATAATTTGGTAATGGTGTCCTAATGATGTATTTGTTGCTAAGAAGTTTTAGATATTGGTGTAGCTTTAGCTGTTATTTATTTCAATGATGGAATGTCATAATTTTTAAAAGTCAGCGCCATTTAAAAAGAAAATCTTCTGAAGCTTTTAAAAAGACAGAAAAATGCTGAGAGGTGTCAAAAAGGGATTTGCTAATAAAGAAAAGGATGTGAAGATGGAAAATCTTACTCTCCTACAGACTATTCTGCTACAGTCCTTTTGTGTTTGAATCATAAAAATGTTCTGAAACTTTTAGGCTCATCGGATGTATACAGGGATACCCATATCTCGGAAAATACTTGATGGATCTTAATGAAACTAAATACACTTTAAGTTGAAGGTCATAAGTTTTATTGGTTAAAATTCACAAAGAAAAGTACAAATATTTGTTGGTTCTATGACAGATATTCATAAATGCTGTAGCATTACAGTTTTAAATATGGACTTTTAGAAATTGCAAAAACTAGTAAAATCTAATTTGTCATATGTCCTTCATTGTATTTTACATTTTATTTTTCATTGCAATAAAATATTAAATGCAAATATTATTTTTAGATTACTGAAAGTTTTTTAATACTTTTTAAAATCATTATCTTGCATGGATCCTATCTGCAGTGCAGATTCTGCATTTTTTAAAGGGAGGAGGAGGGGGCTTCAATTTTTAATGAGGCTCTAATGATTAAAAAATTTGATCATAACAGTTCATTATACTTTCTCCAAAACACAGGTGGTTTATCCCTCTTTCTTACCCCAAAAATATTTTGATAGAACTTACAAAACACTATTAAAAAACAAATAAAATAAAAATCTCATGAAATCTTGTGAAATCTTGTAAAAATTTAATAAGATTTCTTTCTTTGTTTTAAAAACAGGTA